TAATATCAGATATCTCAATAGTGCCCCAAGTAGCGTAAGCAACAGTGAGTAATATAAAAAAAATGATATCAACAAACCCCTGACTCATCGATGTGCTCAAAAGTGTGATCGAGAGACTACACCCAGAGACGAGAGAAAAGAGAGGGATATCTTCGTAAATAACAAAAAGAAACCACATGAATTCTCACGGGACTTATTCGTGAAGTTGCAATGCCAGTTTCTGACATGACAGTCCGCAGAAGGCTTGCTGAGCAAGGTTTCAAATCATATCGCCCTGCCAAAAAACCATAGTTGACCGTCGCAATGATGAAAAAAACTGCAATGGACCAAAGAACAACAAAATTGGACCATTGAGGATTAGAATAAGGTGATCTACATCAATATTAAAGTTTAAATTCTTATAACCACGGTTTTTATTCTAAAAAATGTCTTATATATTTTATTTATTCACAATTTTCGTTCCTCTAGTTAATCTACAGTACATATACTGTACGTAGCAGTGCAGATCTTCGTCTGAAGACGTGTGGGTGAAAAATCACAATGATTGCATAGTGGAGTAAATAAAGAATCTTCTTAAGATCATGGTATCGTCTCTGATCATTAGCAAGTGCACAGGGAGGCTGTACATTATGAAGGGAATGATATGAACCAACATAAGTATATTAAAGTTTTGGAAAAAAAGCTTATTCCACAAATTAAAGACTGGTTTGGCGAATCGGAAAATTTACCTTATTGCACGATTCAGCACCGTGTCATAAGACAAAAACAGTAACATCGTACCTGGAAAAAAGACAAATTAAGTACTAAAGCGGCCAGGTAATTCCCCAGACCTCAACCCGATCAAAAATCTATGGGAGCTCATGAAGAGGGGGATTGCCAAAAAATTGTCACAAATAAACAGCAGTTTAGTGAGAGACTCATTGCCAACTGGCACAGAGACTTAAAAAAAGAAGTGTCTGAAAAACATTCAAAGTATGCCAAGAAGGATTAAAGCTGTTATCAAAGCTAAAGGAGGTCACAAGAAATATTTAAAAAAAACTGTTATTTAAGGTGAACGAAAAAATATTTCAAAATTTTGCAAAAGAACGTGTTCCTGATCTATTTTCATATTATAATCATATCATTAGATGCGTATATGCAGTTTTATTTTTTATTAAACACCAAAATACAAGATGACCTTCTGTATGTTAATATTATAACAAAAATCGAGTCGGAATTTTCAACCTTTATTATTATCCAATCTTTATTATCGAAATAATGATATTATTCCATAATTTAGCCATTCACTGTATATACTCTTTAAACATATTAAGCGTATACATTTAAAAAGACATGAGATTATTTAACAAAATTGTTAATAAACAATTTAGAGATTAGGTTTTTACGTTTATCATCCGAACTAGGTTATTTCGAATCGGCGCGGTGCTATCTGGGAAACAAGGTCGTTTATTTTTACAGTTGCTGGAAGTTTATTGTAATTTCTGACTACCAAATACTGTAAATATTAACTTTTTTCTGTTTTGTTTACGGCTGCTGAACATAAACACATTTCGTTAGTGAGATTTTTGATGGTATTTCGGCGAAGGTTTGATCATTTTTGATGATATTTTAAAAATAAAAAAGTTTTGCATGATTTGGTTTTCAGATAATAAATACAGGGTTTTTGGTAGATCGATGGAAATTTGTTAAGGGATAATAGGGGACTCCATTTGCAAAATTTTTTGCTAATAATGTATCGCTCCAACTGTTAAGGTTTCTGAAATAAAGTTAAATTTGTCAGTATTCGAAAATAAGGCTGCTCATCTATTTTATTTTTAAAAATAATTCTCTAAGCGAGATACTTCCTGACATACAAAATGCCTTAAGGTGGGTACACATATGCTCCGAATACCGTCTCGAACCCCGTCGCGTACAGCGACGCGATCAACAGAAGTTCGCGACGTTGTACAGGGGCATTGAAATAAGTAACGAACCGAACATCGCTCCGTACTTTGTACCAAACATTTTAGCGTTCCAGCAGTAATTGAGTTGAATTCGCATGTGCAAGATGGATCTTGCTGCAGCAGCCTACATTCTTATGCATTATTCAGTTAATTAAACAAAAAATATTCATGAAAGAAGATGGTGGCAAACACAAATATATAAAAGTGGGGAGAAATATGGTGGCAATCACTTACTCTTGGATTTAAAATTTCAGTCGATCAGTGGGTTATATAAAAATTTCACAAGGATACCTTTAAAAATTCATAAACCACTCAGCTGTTCCTGTGCTTTTACTTTTTTTTATTTTTCCTTTTTCTCTCCGTAATCCAGATAGAAAATTGGTCATTTTTTTTACACTCATCCACTGTAATTTCCATTTTAGAAGCAATCTTTTCCCATGCATCGTTTTTTATTTTATTGTAGTATCTGGGATTATTTGTGTCCCATAATATCTCTTTTTCCCGATAATTTTCGATTAAGAGTAAACTATTCTCTTCTGTCCACTCCACCTTGATACACTCAACATTAAAAACATCTTCAACCTTCAAAATAACAGACTGACTATTTTGAATGACTGGAGATTCGATAAAAGATTCGCAAGCTAGTCCAAACATGAATTCGCGGTGTACATTGTCGCGCTCAAATTTCTTTTGATACGTTGTTGACGCGTCGAGATACGGTACGCGGTTGCATGACTCCGTCCACACTTGAGAACGCGACGTGGTTCGAGACGGCATTCGGAGCATATGTGTACCCACCTTTACGTATTACTTACTCAGATTGCAAAAACCCTTCGTTAAATCTTATTGCATTGTTAAAATAACCTTCATTAATAAAACGGGTAAGAAAGGTAAAACACAACAACGATACATCATGCGTTTTGCAACATTTATTATGCCTTATTTATTATGTGCAGGCCATCCATAATGTTGGTACATCATTTTTCGTCTGAGGGCGAGGGGTAAATCTTTTAAGAGTGGTGGTTATTCATTATCTAGAAAGTCTAAGTACACTTGACTATTTAAGCTGCCTGGCAAAAAGTAAGGTCCTATTAACTCTCGTCCGATAACTCCTACCCAAACGTTGACACCAAATTTTTGCTGAAAAGATGTTTCTTTCGGTAGATGGGGATTGTCACGTGACCAGTAATGCAGGTTGTGAAAATTTGTTATGCCTTCTCTATTAAACCTTGATTCATCAGTCTATAAAATACTTTGAAAATTACCGTCGTTGATGTCTGCATCTAACAAAAAGCGGCAAAAGTTTACCGATCTGGCGTGTGTAATGACAAGGGTAGCGTCCATCGTTGTACACTACCGACCAGACCTTCCATTGCGAGATATTTAACTGTCGAGCAACCTTTCTGACGCTTGTGGTAGGATAATTCGTAACAGCTTGGAAAATTTGGGCGTCTACACCAGGACCGTAAAGTCCAGGATGAATACCGGAAACAGGATTGTTAACACTACTAGTTTTACTAATTCGTCGATATGTGTTAATAAAGACACTTACATGGGAAAGTCGCCAGTTAGGTTAGGTTAGGTTAGGTTAGGTTATTTTAACAATGCATTAAGATTCAAAGAAGGGTTTTTGCAATTTGAGCAAGTAATACATAAGGCATTTTGTATATCAGGAAAGTATCTCGCTTAGAAAATTATTTTTAAAAATAAAATAGACGAGCAGCCTTATTTTCGAATATTGACAAATTTAATTTTATTTCGGAAACCTTAACACTTTGAGCGATACATTATTAGCAAAAAACTTTGCAAATGGCGTCCCCTATTATCCCTTAAAAAATTTCCATCGACCTACCAAACACCCTGTATATTATACAGTGTGGAAACCACGGTATCGTGATAATACAGACGATAATGTCCAGATATCCCTCCAGATACTGACAAAGAATGTAGCGTAGAATCTTTAAATTAATTTTAAACTGTTTGTCCTCGTTTTAGTGTAGTGTTTTGTACAATTTTATGTTATTATTAATGTTTCCACATTCTACGCTTGCCGGATAGTTTATATTTTGACGAAATGCCCCTGAAGATGCTATTTTAAGCGAAAGTACTTGGGCTAGATTTAATTAACTTGTGCTCGATAATAGCCTTATTTTTCAAAGTTCATTTATTCGAGCATTCAACCTCATTTCAATTAAATATTAGATTGAATGGAACTATTTTTTAATATATTGACGCAAATTCTCGCATTCGCTGACGATATAGTTATAGTGGACAGAAGTGCGAGAGACATGGTGCAGTTCTTTACAAGACTTGCCCACGCGGCAAGTGAATTAGTATTTATGGTAAACGAAGAAAAAACCAAATATATGTATGTTGGTTTCTAAAAACCTCCGAAATATCCAACAGAGAATTCAAATTAACAACATATTTTTGAGCCAGTCAACGAATTCACATAATCTTGGATCGCTAGTAAACGCAATAAACACAACAAGCGACGAAATAAAAAGACGCATAGCAATAGCAAACAGAACTGTTGACGGTCTCAAGAAACATTGAAAAATATTGTTACGATAAATAATGACTCATATTTAGCCTGTAAACATTTTAATATTCGAACCAGTATTTTCTAGTAAGTTCTCCGCTCGGCTAAAAAAACCTGTCTGGCGTGACCTTCCATCCTATTCGAGAGGGGTCGCCGTCCGAATTCGAAGGGATTCCAGATTAACGGCTGTTTTATATATAAATAGGAAATTTTATTGTAAACAGTTAGTTTTTAGTCTGAATATAATGTATCGAGTTTGAATTATTGTAACGCGGAAATGTTTATAAATTAGAATCAGTAAATAGTGTAAATAAATTATTGTAAGACTTTAATAAACTTTAAGTGATGTAAAAGTGTAGAACCTGTTATAATAAATAAAGTTAAAAAAATTAGACTTATAAATACAGTTCAATATAAAACATGCAGTATATACCGGTTTTGATAAATAGGGCTGAAACATGGACATTATCTGAAAATGATAAAAGACTTCTTTCATCATTTTTTATTTAAATGATATGATATTGATCAATGAATCAATGATGATTGATATACATGATGATGGAGCAACTGTAAAAAAATTGTTTGTTGGTGAAATGAAGGATGATATTGAAGAAGAAGACCTAAAAGATTATTTTACAAAGTTTGGTAACATTATGTCTGTCAGTGTTGTTTGTGACAAAGATACTGAAAAAAAGAGAGGATTTGGATTTGTGGAATTTGAAGATTATGACTTTGTCGATAAAGTTATCTGTAAGTATTTTGAAATTATATTCATGGAATGATCATTAGCATTTTATGTTTGTGTTCAGTACAAAGAAGCCACACAATCAAAGGTAGGAATGACGATGTTAAAAAGGCCTTAAGCGGATTAATGGATCGTGTGTCAAATAGAGGAGGAGAAGGTGGTGGTATGGGTGATGACAGGGGTGGAAACTTCAACCAAGGTAAGCAATGGTTAATATTTAAAACAATTCAAATATACACATACCAATTTAAACAACTTACATCATATAATAGGTGGTGGAGGTGGAAACTGGAACCGTGGAGGTGGAGATTAGAATCAAGATGGATCAGGAGGTTGTGGAGGAGGTTATGGTGGTGGACCCTAGTCTCAAGGACCATGTGGTAATAATAAAGGTGGGCTTGATGGCGGACAAGGAGGATCAGGAGAATGGAATCAAGGTAATTTAAAATTTTTAAACCTTTAACATTTTCAAAACCAGAGGGCACAAAAAGTCGAGGACGACCACAAAGGAGATGGATTGATGATGTGGAAGAAGACCTAAACATTCTAAGGGTCAAAAGATGGAGGGAAGTTGCCAGGAATCGACAGGAGTGGTGACTTCTTTGTGAGCAGGCCAAGATCCACAACGGATTGTCGAGCCATTTGATTGTCGTGGTGGTATGGGGCAGTGGTGACATTATGATGATGATCCTTATTTTAGAAAATTATAAAAAACGCTGACCCGTCAACTTTTTTTAAATGTGAAGTTTTTAAACATAAATTTAAATATACGGGGTTTCACGCAAACCTAGCAGTCCGTAATCTTTATTTTTAATTAAACATCATGTATATTTTAATGTTTTAAAAATCCCCTTAACAACCAAATTTCATCAAACTGTATATCAATTAGTGTCTATTATGAATAAGAAAAATTAAAATTTTGAAATTATTTAAAAATTTTTCCAAGACATTATAATAAATGCTCAAAATGTTCTCTACCTTTTTAGCAATATCACAGTTTCCTAAAAACTCATCCCAAACGTTGTTTAAAGTTTGAGATAAAATGTACCTACTTCTGTTGTATTTATCCTTTCTTTGAGGTCTCCAATGCTAGTTGGCTGTGTTGTATATACTTTGTCTATTATATACTTTAGTAGTCTAGTATATACTTTGTCTATTAGATATCTCCACAGAAAAACATTAAAGTGCATAAGGTCTTGCGATCTAGCTGACTACTCAATAGTACTTCTTCGTCCATTCCATTTATTGAAGAATATTTCGTTTAAGTAAGTTCTTACCATTAAAGCATAATGGTGTATTGTCCCATCCTGCTGGGACTAGACTTTTCCATTCGGTAAGTTCGTATCTACTGGGTTGAGATATAAGTCGTCTCTAATCATGGTAAATACTTTTCGGTTTTCAAATTTCCACCTACAAAATATGACCAATAATATGATCAAGTTGGGCAGCAAGAAAAACTAATGAAGAAGTACTAGGTAGAGTCAACAAAGATAGAGAATTGCTATAGACTGTTAAACACCGGAAAATGTATTATTTGGAACATATAGTGAAGGGACATCGATATAGAATACTACAACTGACCCCTAAACGAAAAATCGAAGGCCGTAGAGATGAAAGAAGGAAACAGGTTTCTTGGTTAAACAGCATTTGTGAATGAACTCAATTGACTTAAGAGATATTAAATGCAGCACAATTATTCCATGTGACAGAAGATCGAGAATCCTTCGCAATGGTTATCATCAACGTCCGATAATTCTGATAGACGTGAAGAAAAAGATACTGGAACCAATCAGCCAGAATAAGAATAAATTTTGGACATGAACCGTTGTGTAAGCGATATCCGTGTGAATTGTAAGCGATAATTATTAATATAATGGTTTTAGTTGAACCACGTTTGCTGTACTTAATCTCTGAACCCACAGAAAAATGTAACAGTATATTATCCCACTATCTTATAATCTTCAAAGATAAAAGTAATCGTTCTGTGTTATCAAGTCTTGATTGAACACAACATGTTTATAGTATAATGGAAACTTTGTATCAGAGTGTGCCGCAATGTGTTATGTACTAAACAAACAATTTCTCAAACGCAATTTCGATTAAACTCTACCTTTAGTAATTTAAGTAAAATTGTTGACTTACTTAAATTGTGTTTTTTTATTTTTTTCGTTCATCTACAATTTTAATTGCAGTGTTCTTACCTGAAACAAATAAAGAAGTTAAAATATGTATGTACCAAGAATAGAGAAAATTAGAATTATGCGCTACAGAATAAGCAATTTTCCGAGTTATTACCGAATGTGCATGTTAAAAGTTATATGTTGGTAATTTACTAGTGTATTGCTGTGGCAGATATTGCTCATTTAAACTACAGGTAGACAGGTTTCTATGCAGTTATTAAAATCTACTGAAAACTTGGTCTAATTTATGTAGTGAATATTTTTTAACCAATTGTAAATATTGTTTAGATTTGTCTGAAGTTTGTTTGTTGCAATAGCATTACATTCTCACCTGATGATAGTCGTTAGATAATGTCATTGCAGGTATCTCTGGGGATATAGATAGATCTGCTGTGAATATTAAATATAAAACTGAAGCGAGAGCACTTCCTTGTGGAACACCAACTTCAATGGAGAAAAAAGGTTAATACAAATAATTGAATTTTTACAAGGTTTTGCCGATCGTGGAGTTAGAATATAAGACCATCGTATCAAACTCTATTCAACGTTTGTGCCATGTCCAAGAAAACTTCAGAGCAACACTTCCTCTCTTCGAAAATTGTCGGGGTGGTCATTATATTTTTATAAATTCTTGTACAAAACTGATATAAATAGATATCGCTATTGTTAATTTATCTGTTTCCTATAAACAAAACTATACAATCGTACATTTCCAAATCGAGTATAGTGACTGCCTTATTTTTTTAGGTACCCAGTAAATTTGTTTTGTAATAGCGATCTATTCTCCACGGCGTAGAAATATAAAGTCCTTCAGAAGATGCCATAAAACGGATAGAGGCATTTGAAATGTGGTGCTACCGACGAATGTTATGAGTCTCATATACACACCACACATGACTATTTTCCACAGGCTAAGAAAAGACAAAGAAATTTATTAATACCATAAAGAACAGAAAATTGGCTCACTTCGGCCACATTATGCGAAATAATAAATACCGACTTCTATAATTGAACTGGTCTAACGTCAACTGATCTATTTCGAGCTGATGTGAATAGAATAAAATGGGTCAATGTGGTCGCCAACATCATTAGAATATAAACACATTTAGAAGAAGAAGAATGTAGCATGTGAGGCCCTGCCAAAAAACTGATTGATGCATAAGAATTAGCTCAATTCTAGTAAACAACAATTTTTTCCAATACTTCCCTTTTTGGCAGTCCTTAAAAATGTTTAACGGTAATCTGTTGGCATCTTTTTATATGTCTAGAAAGGATTCGATCAGGTCTGGTGTACATATCTGATCGAAAACTCCATCAAGGCTTAGTGCCAATTCCTTTCCTGAGAATAATCAACTCCGACATCGCTACTCGAACTGTCCTCGTCAAAATCGCTGATAAACTCTCTACACCCTTCACACCTCAAGCAAGAGTCCCATAGGGCTCAATACTAGCGCGACTCTCCATTCTCTATACAGACTATAATAGGGAACTTCATATCACCAAGATAGGAAAGCAAACTTCTTTATGCCGACAACAGGGCTCTACTCTCCGCAGGACCTCCATATGGTAACGGAGAGAACGTTTGTGTTTAACAAAGCATATCATGACTCCATCGTCAGACGGTGTAACAAATGGAAACTAACATGAAATCCGACAAAAACGCAACTTATTCTATTTAGACATCCTAGATGTTCTCAACCAAACCAAACCAAACCCAAACGGGACAGCCACATTATGCTCAATGTAGAAAGACTTGAATTCAAACCATCAGTGTCCTAATTGGATGTTGAGCTTATAAAGACAATCAATTGGAACACTGATACTAAAAACACCCTAAGTGGAGTGAAAAATAGAGCTAACCTCCTGAAAGCATTAACTGGTAAATTTGGGAATACTAACCATCTCACTCCCCTACATAGCTACAAAGAACTTATTAGACCAATAGTCTAATACAAGGCCATCAATAAAATACAGATGAACCAAGCAGTGGCAACAGAGGGAAAAATCTCGAGTATTCGTCATCAGCATTAATCCAAGTAGCCAACATTCCTATAATCCAAATTGCATCGAAACCATCAGTAACAGATATGTTTTGCAAACTATTGAAAGATCGAACACCAGAGCTTAAGAGATTCTCAAAACAACTTGCCATTGCCGAGAGCAAATACTAACCAAAAACCTCAAAAACAAAGTTCCATTCCTGACAGATAACTAAGCTTCTAAATTTAGCAGGCAATGATCCTGATGATTACTTTAATACTTTAGAATCAACCTCCCTAAAATACCGCAGATAATAGCCTACAATGCCAAACATGCTGATCTAAGAGCAGTTACTTAAAAAACCCCTTAGAGCTTGATAGTAATAGTAAAGTGACAGAAAACCTCCCTCACTGAGGAGCAAATGTAAGTTATCTACCATCCCCTCCTTGCTTCTTACTACAAAATTCTATCACAATTCAACAAAGCATCTACAAAACCAAAAATTCATACTTCCGCAACAAGAAACAAAAGGGAGCAGCCATAATTTGAAGAGGCGAAAGCTTAAAGGTTTTTAATGTCAAATTTTTAAGGGATTAAGGTGTAAATTATATTATTTGACTAAGCATTGTTTGGTGGTTTCTCAATTTGATAGGGTATTGTTTAGGTGATAGGCCTGCAATATCTGTTTCTGAGGAAAGTTTAGAACATATTTTAATTTTTGCCACTGTTGAACTTAATAAACCAAGTTAGAGTAGCCAAATAGCGAAGGAAGCATGCATTATTTCTTCAATAGTGCTTGTAAATGTGCTAAAGCCGCACATATTAGCTTTATCTCATTCAGCTACATCGTACTCAGCATATTCTACCAAGAGATATATAATGACGTGCTTGGTTTTGTGAAAACAGGATTATAATTGATAATGCTTCTTTGTCTCCCAATATTGTATTTAAGGATAAAAAATTGTTTTGCTCAATGCCAAGAAAAACGCAAAAATACGTAGTTTATTGGTAGAATATTAGGGACATATACTTACGTATCCTGTATTGTATAAATTTTTGGTGTAGGATTGATTTTCAAACCAAACAATCCAAACATCCTTCATTTTTCATCGAAAAATATTTAATTGCACAGAAACAATTAAATTTAAACTTTAACTATATTTTTAATTTCAGCAAAAAGGCTCTCCCGTCATCATCAAATCCTGATCGAGTTCTGTCACTTTT